CCGCCGTCGCCGCCGCCCCCCTCGCCGCCGCCGCCGTCGGACGATGACGGTGCGACCAACCCCCTCGCTCCCAACGCCTCACACTGCCCACCCATGTGCAGCACCCTCACACCTTACTTTCTGCTCGACCGAGTTTGCGCTGATGAGCGAACCGAGCCGCCGGGTGCCCCGCAGCGGCCTCGCTGGGCCAGAACATCGGCCCCGAGTGCTCCGCAGCAGCCTTGCTGGGCCTTTGTTAGTATCGAGGTCTCGTGAGTTTTGGCGACACCTCCAAATTTCGGCGTTCACAGCAGTCACAGGGGGACTCATGAGCTTCGTGCTGCTTTCGCTTGCGAGCGCCCTCCTCACCGATGGTGATCCGCGCACGTATGTCGCCGACAACTGCGAAGACAGAGCGGGTGGAGATCAGTGCCGTGCCTGGGCAAGCGAGGGCGAGTGCGAGGAGAATGCGGGGTTCATGCTCACCGAGTGCGCTGCCTCGTGCAGCGCCTGCACGTGCTCGCGGCCGAACCAAACGGCGGCCGTGGAGGTGGGAGGCATCGGCCGCATGTTTGAGCGCATCGTTCAGAACTACCCACAGTTCGCGCCGCATGTTGTCTCGAGGGATCCGTGGGTGCTGGTGCTTGAGAACTTTGTCTCTCCGGCAGAGGCGGAGGCGTTCAACGCAGAGTGCTCCGACCACTGGCAGACCACGATGAATCCGGGCCAGCCCGAGAAGTGTCAGCCCAAATCGCTCTCGTGCGACCACCACGTCGACGTTCTGGAGCAGCTCCCGGTTGTGCAGCAGGTGAAGCGGCGGATCTCCGGGCTGACCATGACGCCGATGCCGAACCTCGAGAAGATGCACGTCCAGCGGTATGAGGTTGGGATGGAGTTCACGGCGCACCACGACCAGGTGGGCCGGATCGACACGCCCGAGGGGATGCGCACAGCCACGCTCGTCATGTACACGCTCGAGCCCGAGGAGGGCGGCGGCACCACCTTCAAGGACATCAACTACACGGTGGAGGCTCGCTTGGGGCGCGCGGTTCTCTTCGCCAATCTCATGGACGCGAACGTGTCGCTGCCTGAGCTTCTCACGCACCACGAGGGAAGCGTCGTCCAGCGCGGCACCAAGGTTGCGGTGTCGCAGTGGATTCGTCAGTACGACTGGCGCACGCCGAACAACCGCTTCTGCCGAGCGTCTAAGGAAGCAGCCGCACAGGGCGCCCTCAGGTCGTTCGACTATCTCAACGACTACTTGGAGGCGAGGCGCGCCGCGGGGCTGCCTCACATAGTGCCTCTCTCCCTCGCGGACGACTACGGGCGGGTCACCACGAAAGAGGCAACGGGCCACGTGGAGCGTGGGACGGCGTTGCTCGAGCGAGCCATGCTGCGTGAGTCCATCCTCCCGCTGCGACGCTCGCCAAGCCAGCAGGCGGACGACGAGGAGGAGGAGTCGACGCGCGCCATGCTCCTCGAGGCGCTCGCGAGCTTCCGCGTCGCGCTCTCGGCCATCGAGGCCTTTCCGAAGGTGAAGCCGCAGTACTCTGAGGGGGCGGCGCTGCTCGCGCTCGGCGACCACGAGGCCGCGCTGCCGGCGCTGCGGCGGGCACAGGAGGTCGAAGGCGGCCTGGCTCCACTCTGCATCGCGGCCAGCCTCGGGCACGAGCTGGTCGTTCGCTTCTTGCTGCGCGAGGGCGCCGACGTGGAAGAGCGCGCGCGCGGCTTGACGCCGCTCTTCTACGCATCGCTCTACGGCAGGGTGGATGTCGCGCGCCGGCTCGTGGTCGCCGGCGCGCAGGTGGATCGCGTCAGTGAGGGCGGGGGCACCCCGCTGCAGGCAGCGAAGGCCCAGAAGCACTGGGCTGTGGTCCAGCTGCTGCGGATCGCTGGAGCGCTTGGGTAGCGGTACGCGGTAGGCGCTCGCTTTTTGATCGCTTGACCGCTGATACGGACGGCAGGCGGCCTACAAACTATAGTACACGAATGAATTGTGCTTCCCGGGCCGGTTTAACGGTCATAATCGTCTGACAATTTAAACTGTTTAGACTGCTTAGATCTCGATCTTTCCAATAGCCCCGGGCCCGCGCGATTGCAGCATGCAGGGTGTGGGGACCAGGACCCCCTCCCCGGACGAACCGGACACGCTCCCTCGGACATGGGCAAGAGATAGACGACCTAGTGGGTGGCGGAGAGTGGAGGCGAGGCGCGCGCCGCAAGCGGTACTCGACAACGTCGCGATGGAGGAGGAGATCGGAGGGGCGGTACAGGAGATGTGGACAAAGGGAGGAGGAAGGGAGGGATACGAAGAGATTGGGAGGAACGAAATTGCTCGCGACCCCGTCCTACGACTGTATCTGAGGAGCGACGAGGCGGAGGCGACGGCGGTGCCGCTTCTTCCCGCGCCGCTGGTTCCAGGTCGGCGCGCTCGCAAACACAAGTGCGCGCGCGGGCTGGGCGGTCTACATCTCGCCCGACCAGCGCATCCTGCAGCAGCACGTCGTGCTCCTCCTCGGCTGCGTCGAGCTGCTGCGGCGCGCGCAGTGGTGCGCTTTCCGCGTCGAGTGGGCCGTCGTCTCGCAGCTGAGGGCGCGCGTCCCTTTGGACACCTCGAGCTGCTCGCTGCCGTCGGCGCAGCCCTCGCCGCATGCGGAGGCCGTCCGCATGGCGCCGGCGGGCGTGCACCCGGGTGGGGGGTTAGAGCACCTGGATATTCCTTTTCATTTGATCGAATGAAAAAGGCGGCCCGGTGGAGAATAAGGCGACCAACTTTTACGGAAACGGCCAAACGGGGCCATGGCCGACGCTCGCGATGGCCCGTCCGTTGCGGCCAGGCTCAAACTGTGCGCGCAAGCCACAGGAGAGGCGGTGGCGCCGCAAGACGAGGCGATGATTCGCATCCTCTCGCGGCTCGCCGTGGAGAACAACTGGTGGAGCTTCAGCGTCAACCCGACGCCCACGGGCAAGCAGTTCATTTTCCAGCCCCAGTCCCAGTGGGAGAGGGACAGGGAGCGGCAGCAGGCCAAGGAGGGCAGTGCCCCACCGCAGCCTGTGCCTGCTGCCACTTCGATCCGCCGCGGCACCGCCCGCAGCACCGCCTGCCGCCGCTGCAGCTCCGGCAGCAGCACCGCAGGCACACCCGCAGCACCAACAGGTGCAGCAACCCCAGCCCAACGAGTCGCCCGAGGGGTGGACCAGGGTTGGGAAGGGCGGCATGCCGGACAGGTTCACCATGAGGAACCATGGCCGCAAGTGCCACGCACGCGCGCCATCTTCAACTAACGTGCCCTCGTGTCGCGCCCGCTGTCGTAGGATGGGACGCTACACCCTTCTCCTCCTCCTGGCCGGTTGCCAGCCAATCGCGTCGTCGACGGTGCTGCAGACAGACTCGATTCGTTTTGGCACGGGAAGCGAAGACTCGATACAGGTCGGCGTAGAGAACATCCAGCAGCCGTTTGCCTTCGTCGGCGGAGCGTTCACGAAACTCACCTACAGCGCATACCCGATGGACTTCGAGCTGCAGGCGGGCGGATCTACCGCGACGGCTTGCCTCGGCTTCGACTTTACGGACGAGTCCGGATTCATCGGAACGTCGTCGGACGGCACGAACAACTTCGGGTTCGGATCGATCTCGGCGACGAAGACTTGCTCGATCGGGGGCGCGACCTTGTCCATCGACTGGACGTTCACGCTCTCCGCGTCCAACTCCAAGGCGCTCTCCCTGGCCATCACCGTCTCGTCATCAGGTGCCGCCGCCTCAGACGTCCAGGTCTGGTGGGGCACCCGCGACGATTGGGTCGGGACGACGGACGGTCCCGCAAAGACGATTGGGTCCATCACCTCGGTCTCGAGCGGATTCACGTCCGCCGCCGGCACCACCGGCAATGCTGAGCACGTGCGACGACAGTGAGGGTGTGAGAGACAGACCCAGGGTGGCAGGGAAGGTCTTTCACTACCTTACAGCCCCTGCCTGAGCTCAGGCTCGACAGAGGTCGGTTTGAACATTGCGCTTAGCGTATGGACCACTTGCTCGATGTCCCGCGTCGGCGTGTAGTTCGGGTCGTACAGGTACTCACCAGTCTCAGCGGCATTGCCATGGTAGACCAAGCCCACCTTGTACCGCAGTGCGGCGCAAGCCAGCATGTGCTCGCGCAGCTCCGACTTGGAGGGCATCTCGCCGCGAGGCCAGCCCTCCTCGAGGAGGACCTGCTTGTCAACTGTTTTTTCACATTTATTTGATCGAACCTGTGTGTGGCTGGCCGAGGGATTTAATTTCCTAAAGTGAAAACGGCAACCCGAGGGAGGGGTGGGAAGACTCCCGGCATTTTCTTCGCCCAAATTCTTTCTTCCGCATCCCATTTTTCCAAAGCTGCTAAAAATCTCTCTCTCCCAAAGCTGTCCCCCTTTGTCGGAGCCCCTTTTCATTTGGATCCAATGAAATTTATTTGATCCAATGAAAAGGGCGGCCGAGGGGCCTCGGCAGCAGGCTGACCTTCTCGAGCAGCTACACCCATTCCTAGCTGCACCCCCTTCCAAACTGCACCCCCTTCCAAAGCTGTCCCCCTTTGTCCCCTCCACAATCTGTACCCCCAACGTGTGTCTGAACGCATCTTCAGGCTTGTGGAGGGGACAAAGGGGGACAGCTTTGGAAGGGGGTGCAGCTTGGAAGGGGGTGCAGCTTGGAAGGTCTTCGGCTTCCATGATGCGCGTCCTCGGCTACCTTCTCCTTCCGGGCCTTGCGCTCGGAGGCCACTGCAACCGCGCCACCGTGCCAGGCTACTGCTGCTCCATCGGCTGCGACACGGCGATCGACATGACGCAGTACGGCATGACGCAACCCTCCTGTGGCCCTGGCGACGCAACTCTCGCCGACATCTTTGCAGAGGCGTCGGCCGATGGCTGCAGCCCGCTGACGGAGGGGAGCTGCGCATGGGGTCCATCCGCAGACGCGCCGTGCACCAGCCAGGGCCTTTGCCCGGCCCCGGTACCACCAGCCACAACGGGGTGCGTGCCGGGCGTGCTGGCGGGCGCATCACCGTCGCCACCCATCTCGCCTCCTCCGCACACGCCGCCGCCCTCGCCGCCGCCCCCCTCGCCGCCGCCCTCACCGCCGCCGCCCTCGCCGCCGCCGCCGCCGCCGCCGCCGTCGCCGCCGCCCGAGGTGCTCATCATGGTAATGGCGGTTACCGATGTCTAATAGGTAAACGTGTCCTCTGC